CCTTAATACACAGAGAGACAACTCTTTGCAAATCCTTTCAACCAGGGACCAACAAAACCTTTTCATTACTGAGGACTAACTGGTTTTGATGAGACAGTAAACACCATACACTATGGTGTTACCCAGCAAGAGGAACACAAATAACAACTCACTGTCAGCACACTGGCCTTAGACTCCAGCTTTATATTAGAGTGAAGGATATAGTATTTGTAGTGCAAGTCTGTTCCCAGTGGCTGCCAAACATTTGGCTTCTGGCAGTAGCCATCTGCACTGCCCCTTACCGTATGTCACCATCCCCAGCTACCTCCTCACATCCCCTCTCTTCTCTGCTTCCCTGCTCTGTGCATCTGCCCCAGCCAGAAGCTCTATTTCCCTAGAGACTCATATGAAGTGGCTGAGGCCCAGCCACAGAAGACACATTAAGCAGAGCCTCTGGGCTGTGAGCAGTGGGGACAGTGCCTCGGCTTTGGGCGGTTACTTTGAAGTTGCTCAGGGTGCTGTTTCTTCACTGCACAGGAGCAGCCTGGAAGGGGGATGAAGAACAGCACCTATGACCCAGGGGAGGAGGGAGGCCTTGTCTGCATCTCGCCAGCAGGCAGTCTGTGGCAGCAGGAGAGCAAATGCCCATCCTGCCACCAATGGAGGAAGGGAAAGCCAGGCAGTGCTAGGAGTGCAGAGAAGAAGCACAGAGTGACAAAGATCAAAGTCAAAGATGTATAAAAGGAGGCAACAGTGAAATCTCACAGAGGAGAAAGGAGAACTTTGGCTTTTGTCAGGTTGTTACACTGACCTTGTGGCATGCTGGGTTTTGGACCTTGGCTATCAGGCAAGCTCAGTGTGTAAAGTCTCATGGAACTTCATGTTCAGCATTATCACTTAGCAGGCTGCAAAGTCACTCAAGTGGATGGGCTGCAGGACTGTAAACAAAGGATTATGGCATGTGACAAGTGGCTGTTCAGAGGGAAGGGACCAAGGGTATAATGGCGATGGGAATCAGTAAGACCTTAGATTGAGTGCCTCAATAAAATCTTAAACTAGTGCTTAAACCATCCAGCTGGCAGAAGAAGGTTGTGCTGGAGAGGCTCTGGTGTGTGCTGGGAGAGGTGCAGGAGCTGTATCTGGGCAGGGAAGGGACATGTTTGGGCAGATGCTTGGTGCCTGAACCCCAGCAAGAGCTAGGAAGAGAAGGACACTATGCCTAGGAGACACCAGCAAAAGCTGTGTCAGAGAGCTCCTTACTCTCCTCTCCCCAAGGCACTTTCCCCCTATTCTCAGGGCTCGGGAAGGTGCAGGAATATTCTGGTCCAAAACCAGGAAGAATCTAAACAGAGAGAGTGAGAGTAGGCTGCGAGCTTGAGCAGCTAGGTCAGGATCCTCCCAACAATGGTGTAAACATAGCCTGAGGCAGAGAGTAGAAATTGCAAATTGGATGAAGACAGGATTCAACCTGGAAAACTAAAGCTATTTAGCAAGGAATAATAATTCACTAACTAAAGTTCCTCTTGGCAGAGGGGAGAAGAGTTCTGGAAAGTCAAACTGTGTTGATCTAACCTTAGGAGAGCTAGAAAATCAGAGAAGGGGACACGAAGAGATTAGTTAGAGAAGAGAAAGGCAACACACAGGCACTAGGACTGTGCACGTAGCTACTATGCCAAGGCAGCACAGAGGTAAGTGCTGGGCAGAAGCCCACTGCTCTGTTCAGGGCTGTGGCTACCATGAGAGCCTGACACACTGGGAGGAGATAAGAAAGGTGATAGCTCCTTGTGCAACTACAAGGCATTGATTTGTGACGACAGTATGAGTTCCTTGTCTCTGAGGGGATATGGAAACAGTTTACAAACATTTGTAGGCATATGCCCAAGCAGGAGGGAGTGCAAATTACTTACTAGAGAAGATAAAACAAAGAGTGGGAAAACCAAAGCAGAAAGTGACTTACAAGATTTTACCAATGAGCTGCAATAGGTTGTGAAATAGCTCTCACAAGAAGAGCAGGAAGGAATCCAGGTATGGGCAGCTTTAAATCTGGATGAGAAGAAAGTAATTAATACATGAGCAATGAAAGATATACAGAAGAATTTGTTGAAGTGATAAAAATATTTCCACCTGCACAATCTGTAGTCCCAATTTTCCACTGTCCTGCATTTCTTGCTATCATTAGCAGTGACGCAAAGCAGGAAAATGTTTATTAAAGCAGGAACGTAACGTTATAGCACTGCTCCACCTGAGCACATAGATTTCTAGACATACCTAGCCAACAGAGAATTAGGTTTTACAATTGTGTCTGGGAAAATGACTCAGCAGCAGTGATCCTCTTCAACTCATCCAGTCTTATCCTCGCGCCCCATTCCAAATCTCCTTTACTCTTCATGAGGTAGGGATATGATTCCATCTTTGGACAGTGTGTGTTAATGTCTCCTAAAGTCACATCCAGCTGCTTTTAAAAAACTCCTGATTAATCCCTTTTTAATTGCCTGTGGGAGACCACCTCCTTATGAGGCTCCCAAAGATTGACAAGGAAACCTGAGGAGATCAAAGCCCAAATACAGTCCCAATGAAGGTTGAAATAGCCACCTGCCAAAAATTTGGAGAAGCCCACACCTTACCTGGCATATATGCTTACCAGCTTAATATTTTCCATGAGGAGGGAGCACAGCCACGGCTACAGTGCTACAGCAAGTATGAATGGTTAGCCCCAGCAGAGAGCTGTTCCTTGGACTGAGGATGTTTCACATAACTAATTGCCAAGCTTTATAACCATCCCCTGCAGACTATCATGATGATAAATGAATGAGATCAGACTAGTCCATATGGTTTATTGGTGGAATTTGCCCACACGCTGTAGATGCATCATTACTCTGTGTACTCATCAGCATGGGGATGAGCACAGTTCAAAGTCTTTGCCCATACAATATGAAATCACAACCAACCTGCAGCTCCTCAGCTTTATCCCAAGAACTCTTCAGGCCTTTTTGGCATCCTTCTGTTCCTCTGTATCCTTGTCCTGGGCCATCCTGCAAGTCCTTTGGTGAATGCCATGTCCTTCCTTATTAAAGTAAAGCATAGTAAGCTGCACCTATAGAAGTTAAACAAGAAATTGTTGAAAAACTTTGAATTCATAACACAGTGGCTAATAGTGTGTTGACTACTCTTGTCCTCTGCCTGACAAAATCAGAGTTGCTCCACTATGTGGCAGAGATGCTCTGCAGCTCCACAAGCAGCAATGATCCTCTTTCTGCTGACTGATATTTCCAGAGCAGAGCATTTCTCAACTCCATTGAGGCTGTTGAGCCCAGGAACCCTGTAGAAACAGGGGATATTTCAAAGTAACTGCAAACACCACGTTCAGAGTAGGTACCCAAAAAGGTGTACTGTATTGCCTGACACATCCCTGCGTCAAGCAATACCTTGCATTAGCACTACAGGGAATAGGGTTTCATGGATGGAAACTGCTTTGAGCTGAAATCTGAGAGCTGTACCATTCCTTTCCGGCTCTGAATTCCCTAGGCGGTCCAAGGCAGGCACCTTCATCTCCCTGTGGCTCAGTTTGCCTTCTGTAAAACTGGGTTAGCATCCCCTTCTCCTTCTTACATCACTTTTATCCTTACCTATATTAATGGTAAATAGAGACGGGCTTGTTTGTGTGCGGGCACAGCGCAAAACGGAGGGCACGACCGTGAAAGTGCCGCTCCTATGGGGAAGGTCTGCAGGGAAAGATAAGCGCTCGGACGGGCAGGTGCAGAGCAGGATGCAAGGATGCAGGGATGCGCACACGGGGAGGGGGGACGCCTGCAGGGAATGACACATGCGAGGCGGGCCGGGCGCTCGCCCGCCGCCCGAGCC